CTTGCTTGAATGATCCTAAGGACAGAGAGTGGGCAGAATTGGATTCCTTTACACTTGCATTGTCTTTACAATACAAAAATTGAATTAAGAACTCAGATTTACATATGGGGCAAGAGAGGACACCTAGACATATGGAGAAGTCATGGGAGAAGAAGAGTATGAGCTTAAAAGGCCAAAAAAGAACCATGTTAGAATCAAGTTCTGCTATTTACTGGGGCAGTGGCATTTTGACATCTCCATTTCCTCTTCTATGAGATGCTGCTCTGAACCCCTACGCAACAGGGTTTAGCGAGGATGTATCCAGGAATGCAAAAGGCATTGGACAGCACTCTCATTGTATTTATAACTTAGCCATTGAGGCTCTTAGACTCCATTCGCCTTCCTCTGTGAAGAGTTGCCCTATGACAACAGGTGCAGCTGTTGCTCCCAATAATGGAGAGGACTTTGGGTTGATCTGGTGCTATTCTGAGAAGGCTTATCTTAAAATAACTGGGTTTCACAAGTGGAAATCTGCTAGCACACAAGGACAAGTGAACATGTGATTGTGGTATGTTGTAGTGTCTGTGGATATGGGCTGTGAAGCAAGACAAGGGTTGTTGTTATTGTAAAGTGCCATCGAGTCGGTTCCGACCCATAGCGACCCTGTATAGGGTTTCCAAGGAGTGGCTGGTGAGCTTGAACTGCCAACCTTGCAGTTCAAATGGCTTTGCAGTCTAGTGCATTAACCCACCAAGACAAGGGTAAGTGCTAAGAAAATGCAGGATGCTGATAGAATACAGGTTGCAACATCTCTTCTCCATCACCTTCCTATGGGCATGATTCAAACCGCTGCTTTTGAATTTTATGTTTGCTGCCATTAGGTGAGTAAACAGGATAAAAGAGAGAATGTTTTTCCATGCCATTATGGGGTTCCTAATGCTGTTTGAACATACCGCATTATCAACTAAGAAATTGTTGACATGCAACCAAAAGAAATACATCTGAACATCTTGTGGAGAGAGGACAGCATTTACTAATTGCTAATCACCAAGGCTTAAAGATTTTTAGCTTTAATTTGATTTCAATTTGGACCATTTCTGTTTTGTTTGAAATCTTGAGATTCTGCAATTAAGCGGATATTTGCTTCAACGAGCAAAGAGCAAGGAAACCTCTGGCATCCTTTGGTAATCCTACAGGCCATAAATTATAGGGAGACTGACCTCAAGAATAAAACGACTAGGAATAAAGTCTTTTCCTCTCTCCAGAATCACCTAATGACACGGCTTGATGTTTTTCTAGTGAAATAGGAATACCCTCTCAGTTCTCCAGGAGACAAACATAAACCCACTTACATGATTCCTGAAGGTCAAGACAATTACTGCAGGCAAGCATCAGCGGTTACGACTCAACTCTAACTTAGTGACCAAAAGGGAGAGCAACAGCTTACTGAATTCACTGTTACTTCAAATGAAGTCTGGCCTATTTTTCTCCAAAGAAAAATCCATATTAAAATGAGGAAGAGACAACATGGTTAAAGAAAAAGCATTTGAAAATGACATAAAACCACTTCCTTTAGTGAGTGCCTTTATATTTATCTGCCTTCTTACAGTAGTATCATTTAGGCAAGACTGTTATTCCTCGTGACATATGATCCTTCTAGGGTAAAGAAACTAAAGAAGTCATAGTCACTGTGCTTGTTACAAATGTGCACTCGTTATAATTGGGACAAAACTTTGCTTTCCCTTGGTTGGTGAAGGTTAACATATTTCGTCAACGCTCCAGAACACAACTTGTCTTCTCCTCCAACCCAGAGTCCCTAGGGCAGGATGCCTCTCTGAATCCAATGGTTGTGAATGTCCCAAAGCAAATGGGATGTCTACTTAATGGATTTATAAGAAAACAAGACTGCTAGAGGCCAAATTCTCATATCAAAAACGATGTTGTCATAACTGAACTCTATATTATTTTTTGCTATTTTGTTAAGGCGTTCGCCATTACTGTCATAACTTGGGATTTTAAATCCTAAAACCAGACACTAGGAATTCATGATTTCGTTGTTGTAGCTTTTTAAAAGCACCGACTTCCAAGTTAACAATCTTCAAATATCAATCAGAGCCCAGTGAGTGGCATTTGGGCAGGAACAGCTACACTGACATTAGACTGGCTTTTAGAAGTTCCTCTAAACTCAGCGGTTCTATTTTAGTACACTTGACATAAAAAGAAAAAGTGAGCAAAAGAATAAAGCCATGCCGATTATACCTTCTCTTGCCAAAAGGCTGCTGGAACAGCAAGAAATAGATTTTTGGTTCCAAATTTCACTCTTTCCATGGTTTCCTTATAACAAAAAGCAGTGCTGATACTGGGCCAAATTAGACTCTCAGATACTTGTATGTGCTTTCTCAGCCAAATTCCAGGACTCATACAAGATTACATCAGAACTGGTTTGTATGGGAACAATCCTATCAATGAAAATCACAAGAATTTAGAACAAATTAGAGAATTAGCTCTTCATAAATAAAAGCCTGGTTTTGGCAATGTCTAATTTTGCTTTACTGTATGTATCCTGAAAAGCTGTTTAGATTTTTCAGTCCATCAACAAATTCTGGATTCCTAAGGCCTTGGAGTTAAAACAGAAATGTCTTTAAAATTGGAGGTAGCTGGAAGCAATTCAAACAAGTTATGTACTACAAATCATTCTAAGTAAGTTAAGTATACAGCATATTATCTATCTCCTTCATCTAATGTCTTCTGGATCCCGTTCAATTGTACAGAGATCAAGTATTTCTACTGGAAGGTATAAGTTGATCATTAGTTTCCAGGACCTTGCTTTGAAGGAGTTCCGTATGAATGTAAATAAATTAAAATTCCATTCCAGGAAGCCTCCAATGCGCCTTGTGATGACTGTGTGCCATCGAGGGGGTTCCAACTCACAGGGACCCTATCTAGGTTTCCCAAGGCTATCATTCTTTACAGGAGCAAAAAGCCTCATCTTTCTCCCACAAAGTGGCTAGTAGATTCTAATTGCTGCCCTTGTAGTTAGCAGCCCAACACATAGCTCACGATGCTACCACGGTTTCTTTCAATAAGTGTGACACTCCTTAAAAATAGCTCATAGGAATAAGGGGAGAGATTCAGTAGGCTGGGTAGGAGAGTTTGGCTAAGAGAAATATGAGAGAAGAAAAAGTCTGTCCATCAAACTACACAAGTGAAAGGATGGCAGGCACTCTTAACCTGATGAAAGGCATTCAAAATTGGGAAACTTGACAGGTTAAAAACTACCCAAACCTTTACTGCTAACTCTTTTCTAAAGAATTCTCACATTGAACACATCCACAGCATTCTTCACAGCACTTTTCAGATGCTACTATGAAAATTAAAATATGAGCCCGCCAAGTTTATATGTAATAATGACAGAGAGGAGGATGGTAAATTCAGTTGTTCGTTTTCTTACTCTGAGTGAGTATTGTTTAAGAAATTTGAAGGAAGAGTCTGATTGCTTAACCAGCAATCTGACTGAACTTAACCGGCTGCTTCTTCAATAGCTTATTTTTCGTCCTCAAAACAAATTTTGTTGTGCAGAATGATCTGCAAATACACAAGCACTATCAAACTCCTTATTAAAGAATATATATATATATATATCTTCAGAGAAAAGAGAGGAGAAAACCGTTGAATGCATTATAAACAATAAAGAGACTGTTAAAAAAACATTATTTCATTAAAGCACCGAATCAAGTAATGATCTTCACCAAAATAAGGTATTTACTTACTATAAAGAGTTCCAATGTGGATAGCTCAGATATTCTAAGTTTAAGTAGACATTAAAGGCAAATTTTCTACTCCATTGCTGAAATACAATTAAACATACACATATGTAGGCGTCTCATTTTCTGCCAGAAAAAGGAGACTTTGTGATTGAAAATTTGGCTTCTAATAGTATGGACTACAGTTTGTTAGAAGTTATTTCTTTAAACAGAATCGCAAGACCCACTACTCCAGATCAAAAAGGCAGACTTGTCCAGGTTAAAAAGGTCAACTAGCAATAGAAAGGGCCTTCTTTAGAAAACATTCTAGAACGGTCCATGCCAAAGTAGACAAGAATGCCAAAAAGACAGTAACTTCTATAACTCGCAATATTATGGATCAGTACGCAGCATGGATAGTAACTGATATGAGAGGGACACAGGCTATTTTGCATTTAGCATAGACCGGAAAAGTCTCAAAGTGTTTTTCAGGAAGTGGAGATGTACAACGATGAACAATAATTTGCCACATTGTGATTGTAGAGGCATTCCAAGTATGTTTATTTTGGGTATATTCAAAAAAATTGGAAAACATGGACAAAAACTTTCCAGACAGAAAATGTCCTACAGATACAGATTGGTGGCATGGTGTGAAATGAATACCTTAATAACCACAGTTTAAGCATCAGCAAGTAGAGTTCTCCAAACCTGTACTTGAGCTGAAAAGAAAAACAAACTACTCATCGTTTTCCTTCAGGCATGCATTTGACCAGGGCAAAGAGCAACTGGGCGTGCATTAAAAGGGCAGTCTAGGCCTGAGTCCACGAGCGAAGTAGACCAGGAGCATTTGGGGGACGCAATGCAGAAGCATGAAGGAGGTGGAGGAAAGTTATAAAATTTGGGATAATTTTCTCACTTCATTTTAGAAGGGCCATTCCTCAGCTGACTACAGCTTCAGGAATGCAAAGTGATGGGCCCAAACTCGGCCAGGTGTCAGTTACAGAAGCAAGCAACTTTGACAGCCAACACGAGGCAATGTAATGAAAACCAGCAGAAAACACTTGAACTGCAAGAAGCAGAAGGCTGTGCTGAGCCAGAGAGGACTGTCTTATACAGTGTCCCATCTGAGACTGCATAACACGTTCACCAGCCAGCCAGGAGGCCACCTAGCAACGCCAGGGGCTGAGCAACACACAGCACACCAGAGGGCAAGGCAAAAGAAAGAGAAAGAAAGAACGAGAGAAAACAAGCAAAACCACGCGGCTGTCGTGCACAAACCTTCCGGCTCTGTGTTCTCTTTGTGGTGTACTTGCTTCAGCGGGCAGCAGAAGATTTCGTGACACTTAGTACGAAAGGGGGACTCTTTTTTCTTTAATTCCGCGGATTGGATGGAATCTTGTCGTAACATAATGTATTCCTGAGTGCCAGGGGGGGCGTCATCCAGAACTGTGGTCACCACATAACAAAATGAACTCAAGTTAGAGCTTCATTATAGCAGCCATTGACTTAAATCTAGTCTAATCTACTCCCCAGGGCAGACTAAGGAAACAACATGCCTAAGAAAAGTTGAAAAGAAAAACATTTTCTACCTTGGAAATTTTATTATTAGGGGGTTCGTTTAAAACATGAATGCTCTGGAAATCAGTCATACCACTATGGCTTGTACAGTGAAAAAAACAATCTTTATTTTGATACCCACAATTATACTATGGGGCAAAGACATACCACACAAACTCCCGATTTGAGATGCACTATCAATATTCCCAGGTGAAACTGCCTAATGTTATTATTAGTGAACTCAGTGCTGACATTTCTTATTTTGATCTCCTGGGAAGAGCTTGTCGACTAGGTAGTAAATACTATGTCTGAGCTGATCAAGATCACTGGTCTTTATGCTTGGATTTTCAAAGAAATCTTGGGGATGTGGCAGATATTCTTGAGATGTACAAAACCAGTTAATGAAGACAACAGATTCCATTTGACCTCAGAATACTCAACACTGGGTGTGTCAAAGACCAACAACCTTGCTGGATTGTGGAAGGGCGGGGCCTGCTACTCAAGACTCTTAGCTCCATATACTTTGAAGGCTCTGTTTGCATTTCATAATCAGAATTGGAAATCACTAAGAGTTTTTCACCCCACAGAAAGAAGGTCTTGACAGGGTCCTTTTCCACATTCTTTAGCCTGACTGCAAACCACCCCATAGGATAAGTATTTGACCTTGAAGTCAGTTTGAACTGTGAAGTCAGTGGTTCAAACTCACCACCCGCTCCTCAGAATCCCCATACACGGTTGCTGTAAGAATCGACCAAGTGGCATGTAACATCAACAACAAAGTGGGGGCCAGTTTGGAGCTGCATTAGTGGGAACACACAACTAAATCGAGAATGGAAGTTTTTTTGTTTTTTCACGTTCTTCCCAGTGAGGCTGTTCCATGTCCCCAGGAGTGAGTCAGGGCCTCCAAGGCTGTGATTAATGACCCTCTGACTCATTCTACTCCCCCAAATGCAAACACTTAACATGCATTTAGGACTGATACTACCAGCAAGCTTCTTATATGAAGAATAAGGCTGTGGTGTTTGTAAAAACAAAGAAATAATCAACAGCCTTGGGCTGCAACTTGATAGTATCTGATGCTTACTGGAGGGGTGGGATCTTAATGGACTGCCTAAACTTTCATATTTGTGGGTGAAAAATGATATGTCGACATAACTTTTTTTAAGAAATTCAAAACAAGTTGTTGATAGATTGCCTATGTTTGGAACTGTTGTCTTCATTTGTAAGTCATTAAATTATGCAAGAAGGTAATGAATATTTTAGTCAGTTCTCTTTGTATTTTCCTCCACATTCAGCAGCAATCATCAAAAATTTTATACACAAACACCACCGCAGCTTCACCCAGCAGAATCATCCCTTGCATCTATTAGGATTGTGGTAATACCTTCTTAGAGTCTACTTGTTGAATACACCATATTTGCTGGGAACAGTTGCCATTCAAATCATTTGCAACCACTTCCTGCTATGAGCAGGTCGTATTAGTAATATAATTTAGACAGTAATCAAATTCCAAAATCACAGCTAACGACAAAATCTGGGTTTGCTATCTAAAATATTTAAAGAAAACGACTAAACTCGGATTTTTAAAAAGTTTTATTCTGAATTATATGATAGTTTACATGAGAGAACTTTAGTTTTACATTCATTTCATTATATATCATCTCATTGCCATGGTTCCAATCCCCTCCATGCATCATCAACCAACCAAAGGGTATATCTTAGAAACCCGCCCCCTACACTCCCCCC